TTTCGGATTGGCTGGTGGGAGCGGATCGCGGCCCGATTGTTTGGAAGGAGCATTATCAGGCTCCCACAATCAGCTGGCTGAGGGTGAACAGGGAGGAGGGGTCCAATCAGGGACCGTACTGTGCTGAAGGTCCCCAAAGCTAAGGACGGGGCGGGTGTGTGTGTGTGTGGAGGGTGGGGGGTGGACACAGGAACTGCGCTTCCCCTAACCTTCCTCTGCAAGTGGCCAGCAGGCTGCGTGGGAGAGGGGCAGGCAGTGAGCAGGGATGCGTCTTTCTCACCCCTTGGGCAACCCTGCCCATCATCCAGGCATCAGGACTCCTGGATTCTACCCCTCTCAGCTGCTGTCTGGCTGCATGGCCTTGGGGTGGAGGTTGCCTTCCCCCTGAGTGCCTCAGTTTCCCTACCTGTAAGGAGGGGTGGTGACCCAGACCCTGGTGCGGCCGTGTGTGGCTCAGATTGGTGATTCCTGCATGCCCGGGGGGCTCTGCAGACCAGGCAGTCAGAGCTGTGGGTGCCCTCAGCACAGTACGGGGGGGCGGCGCCCGGCCCGGGGAAGGCCCGTGAATGGCCGAGCCGTGGCACACACTTACTGTGACAGAAATGCGGACGCGCTTCGACTTGCGCTTTTCGGGCGGTGCTGAATGCTCAGCCTTTTTGGCCACGAGAAAAACAGGAGAGAAGACAGAGGCATTATGGGAAGCCGCAGCATCCTGGCCCAGCTCCATGCCCCCAGGACCTCGGAGGGGGGCTGGGCACAGAGCAAGGGCTATGGCGGTGGGGGTGCAGACCCCACTGGGGCAGGGGGGCGAGGGGCTCTCACCTCCATGGGCTCTGGGGTGGCACTGGTGCAGAAGAGGCTCTTGAGGGCGATGCCCGAGTGACCCGGGGTCCCCCCTGCAGAGACACAAGCAGAGAAACCAGGAGCCTGCCCGGCGCTGTGGGGGCCACGGGGGCAGGGGGCCCCCCCGAGGGGCTCTCCACAAAACTGCTGGGAACTCGCTTGAGCGCCGGCTTCAGGGGCTTGCACCGGGGCCGACGACGATTCCTCCGTGCTGATCTGGGGGCAGCGAGAGTCACCTACAGGGAGCTGGCACCAGCCCCTCAGCCTGGGAGGGAGGGGCAGGCTCAGGCTTCACAGCCCCAGCCCAGCGGGGTCCAGGGTGTGGGCCCGAGGTGTCCCATCCCCAGCCAGGTGGGATGGGGGCCCATGGATCCCAGCTCAGTCCAGGTCAGGGGGACGCAGGCCAATCTGGAGCAGCCTGGGCCAGAGGGGGTGTGGGTAGGCAGGGCGCAAGATGCACCAGCCAGGCCAGGAAGACGTGAGGTTTTACCCCTATTCAGTCGCTGACTGGCTGCACAGCCTTGGGTGGAGGTCCCTTCCCCCCCTTTGTGCCTCAGTTTCCCCACCTACAAGCAGGGGGTAGTTACCCTGGCCATGCCCCTGAGTAGCTGGGCAAGAGGAAGGGGGTGCCCCCCCCACTCCCGTGCGTTTCCCACCCCCCTCTGCCAACCTGGGACGCTGGGTGCTTTGGCGTTTCAAGCCCGTGGATCCTGGCGTGGCAGTGGGGGGGGGGATCCCCGCTGCCCCCCGCCTCTCACCTGGAACCGCACTCCCGTGTCAGACGCCCGGGGGCCGTCCTCGGCCTGGGGCTTTTCGGCGACGCTGTTCTGCCCGGCCTGCGCCCTCTCCCGCATGTA